AGTTGAACTTTTATTAGGTTGGTGCGTATGAAATGTCGCATTCTCTTTACATGCGGACGTTTTCCTCCCTGTTTTCGTTATACTTTTGTATTTGGCATAACCTCATTCATACTCGTATTGTCCATTGCCAGAGACTCATTTCAACAAAATAGGTTTTCTCGAAGGTCTTCCCTTTTTTATTTCTTTTGAGTTTATTACCGATATGAATTCTGCCGACATTCGCGTCATTTTCTTATATGAGTACAAACTTGGTAATAGTGCTGCAAAAGCTGCACGCAACATAAACCAAGCGTTTGGGGAGAATACGGTTAACAATCGGAAAGTGCAGCGTTGGTTCGAAAAATTTCGGACTGGCGATTTTTCACTGCAAAATGAGCCGCGCGGAAGACCCAAAACGTCTGTGAATAATGATGACCTGAAGGCTCTAGTGGAAGCGGATCCAGCCGTATCCACGAGGGAACTTGCTATCAGGATGAAAGTTGACCATACAACGATATTGAGACACCAAATTGTACTCCCATCGCTTGTGAATCGGCATGGCCCGCTACTGCTCCATGACAACGCTCGGCCGCACACATCGCACAAAACAATTGCGAAACTGAACGAACTGGAATATGAAGTTTTGCAGCATCCACCATATTCACCGGATCTCTCGCCGACCGATTTTCATTTTTTCAAGCATTTAGAGCTGTTTTTAAGAGGCAAACACCATGAAAATGAAGACAGTCTAAAAAACTCGATATCAGAGTTTATTAATTCTAAAGACCAAAATTTTTTTAAGACAGGCATCTACGCTTTAAAATCTCGTTGGGAGAAGTGTATTGAAGCGAATGGAGCATACTTTGATTGAATAAACAGCTTTTGAAGAAAGATATACAGTTTTATACAATCACTTAAGAATCCGACATTTCATATGCACCAACCTAATACTTTATCCGTCTTTCTCGTTCTCCCCTTTTTGTCCGTAAATATTATAGTCGAATCTTAGAATATGCAAATGTATATTCACAGAAAAAAGGGTTTCATTGAATTTTGTACACGTGTTTATTTGACTTGAGTTTGTTTAACCCTTTGCACTCCGAATTATATTTCAAAATCATATAAAACGAGTACTTACAGTATTTGTACTGAGAGGTCTTATGCTATATTGCTATAATATTGTACTAATAATATAATATAATATTGCACTAATTGAGTAAGTTCTCTCGAGTAAGCGGCTCGAGTAAGACAAAGCGGCCATTAAGTGAGTGAGACTCGACAAAGGAGCTCCTGAGATAAAAACTGATGTCGAGTCACACTCGACATAGGAGTGCAATGGGTTAATATAAATAACAATTGATTTAATATCAAATATTATTTTATATTTGATTGAAAGTGTTACATTAGAATAAATCATGTTGGTTAGTAGAAAAAACATGTAGTTGAAGTTTGGGGCGAAAATTAAAGAAATGCTTTCAAGTTTAATCTTAGTAAAAAACAAAAATATGGAAAAACAATAAAATTGTGCAAAATGTGTCATTATTAACATAAATAAGAAAAACCGAAAAAATTACGCGTACGCGCAAATATTCACACAAATTAAAATTTTCACTGATAGTCCCGATGGCCTGTGCAAACAAATGACAGCAATAATTTTACATTCCATGGAACGATATACATGAGAAAAAAATAGTTTATTGTAAACGAATACCCGGAAGATCTCCATAATCGACAAAGTTCATGCGCGTGCTCGAAAATCGCTTTAAACTTTAATCACATGAAAAAAGATTATTACTTGGCGACCATATTATATTAGGCCATCATGATATATAATCAAATGTAAGAAATTTTAATAGGCAAATAAGAGCCGAACACACGGTTGTTAAGTGCGAATATATATTTTTAATTTAGGAGGATAAATATATTTGATGGTGTGATGACACGCACGCCGACGTTCCGTCAGATTTTCAATGCATGTAATATTATTCCATTGAAAAACGAAGAAGTTCTTTAATATTTTTCTAACGTAGTGTTACTTCTTACAAATAATTTATTGCTTGTGACAATCATTATAATGTTTGGATAAAAATGCGAAAGATATTTATTATTCGATGTAAAGATATTTATTGTTTGAGAAGCCAAACAATTCTATTCGTTGAGTCAAACATTCGTTTATTAATTCCACTGCAAGAGACAAATTTGTCCCAATTAAAGAAATTTTATTAATCCAAAGCAATCCAAAGCAAATCCAAAGTAATATTTTCCTCTGTGTATGTACAAGATTCTCATCTATATTTTGCATACAATATGCTACTTTGTAATATACGATTACACAAGATTCAAGCCGCGAGACCATCTTCGCCGTTTCAGACTTAAACTCTGCGAAACACTTTCTCATCTCACCGCGTAAAATTCAACGTCTGGCTCGAAATATCCCCCTAAAATTAAGTCTCACGTTAGGTTTTTAATCAAGCGAGCTTCATTCGCCGTTTTTCGACCATAAAGTCCGGCGAATGCGATGCCGGTAATGCAAACGGGTCCAAGTCGAGCCAACCTATTGTTCCGAATTATAGCTTTCCAAGTCGAATCGCTCTCTCCCTCCCTCCCTCCCTCCCCTTCGCCGTTTTCCGATTTCCCGTGAAAACTTAACGGCTGCTTACTTCGGCTGCCAACGGCGGCTCGGATCAGAACGTTTCGTCCTGACGACGACGACACTAACGTTAATGCGTCTTTGTCCGCGCGGCAGCGTATTGTTCGTCGCGTAAGAGCCCTACCGGATGGCGAGTGTATCGTCGTCGTGGATGGCGTACGAATACGCGGTGGGATATCGACCGTTTCTCGCCACTCGTGTGTATTCCCGTCGTTGCACGCGCACACCGTCGCACACAGGACTCGCACGTACGCACACTCGAGCATGGTGGTGACCGGCAATGGTGTGCATGGTTGTATAGTCCTATAGTCCTCTCCTCTCTCTCTCTCTCTCTCTCTTTCTCCCTTTCTCTCCCTCTATCTTGTAGTCAAGCTCTACCGATCGAACGAGAGAGACTGTAGTCGCACGGCACGCTTTCGGCACAGGGGTTGGCCCGACCCACATCTCCAGATCAACCCTCCATCGACTGTTTCTTGGGTGCGTGCACGGCTAACGTTCGTTAAACGGGACGAGCGTGTCGTTCGTGTTGAAAATCGCGGTGGTCTCCGCCCTTCGCCGAGGAACTCGCTGGCCGGACACGTCTCTACCTCCCGCGGTTTGCGTAGCGTTTCCAGCGCTAAATATATCGCTAAATAATCGTGGTACAGGTGGCGAAGCGTGTCCTGGTGAAATTCGTCCGAAGTTAGCCCCGTTACTTGTTACCCACGATCCATCGAGTCGCGAGCTGCTCTTTCGATCGGTCAAAGTTCAAAGAACGGTCGAACCTGGCGTTCTCGCGCCGGCCTTTTGAATTATAGACGCGAGAGGAACGCGCGAGAGCCGCGAGCGATAAGAAACGATGACCGCGACGCTGACTAGAGTCCCTCAAGTAAGAGCCAAGTAAGAGTCATGGCCATCTCGGCCACTTCGTCCTGATTGGTCTAGTTCCTTTTGATCAGAAATGGCGGAGCCGAGGATTGTCAGATAAAGGCACTCTATTTGTAACTAAATGTTATTCTAAGATGTGAGATAAATAATAATAAAATAATGGAAAAGTTAGTTTTTAAGATATTAAAAAGCTATATTTTATAAATAGAATTATAATCACAGATAAACGGCAATATATCTTCAGAAAAATCTGCCTCAATTCGATATATTGTAGTCATTTTTCAGATAGATATTTTAATGATAAACTATACAGTAAAAACATATTATATTTGTACTAAAATCGGTCTTTATTAAAATTTTTATGTTAAGTTTTTAACATACTTGTATTTTAATTTAACATATTGCGTTTTATCTCAATATTTTGTGTAAAATCAATATGTGTAAGTGTTAACTCTTTTCAGTCGAAGTCCGAGATATTCCCGACAAGATACCCATGCTTACAACTATTACGACCGGAAAGACTTAAAATAACACATTTTATACTTTAGTGTCGATTAATATATTAATTTTGTATTCATTTTTTATATAATATTCGTGTTATTTCAACATATTCGTTTTTTCTTAAATTGATCCAAAAATTTGTATAGACCGTTTGGGACATATAAAATGTGTTAAATTTAACACCAAATTTTTTTACCGTATAGTATAAAATATGATCAGAATCATACGTACGGTCACATTTACTTGAACATACTAGAATAAAAATATATTTTATGTTAGGTCGATATTCAAACATGTATGTGTTAAAATCACACATTTTATATTTCAGTGTCGATTAAGGTATTATGGATGTTAATTTTGTTTTAACCCTCTAGTGGCAAGGTGTAGTCAGATTGACTTCGCGGCTTCGTTTAATTTACAGCGTGCACGTGCTGCTTTTCATCTTAAGGAATGTTCCATATTATTATTTATTTTTTTTTACAATGTATTTTGTACAATGATTATATAAAAAATGGGCAAAACATATATAGCATAGAGTCGAATCTGATTCTATTTTCCTGGATACGTTGAAAGTCCATCTTGCCATTAGAGGGTTGATTCTTGACAAATTTGTGTTTCTTTTCTTACTCACCTTTAATGTGAAATTAATATAAAAATTGGTGTGGGCCGTTTGAGACATGTGTTAAATTTAACACGAAATGTTTTACACGCTATTTTTCACCATCAAGTCAGAAATGGCCACACTCGAGAGACTCGAACGCCACCGATCGCGCGGCGCGCGCGTAGTCACCGCCCTCAGTGACTTCGATGACTTCGCGGCCACGCCGGCTTCGTCAGATCGTGACGACACCTTCTGTTGTCGGGGGGGCTGCGAGCGCCATGACGCAGCACGCTCGCGACTATTTTAACGATAATCCCCGGCTCGTAATCGCGCTCCTTAGAATCACGAAGGATAATCACGGAGACAGAAATGACGACGGACTTCATCCGCCTTATGTTGCAGCAGCGTCGGCGACAGACACCAAATTCGATAGTCTGACGATGGACAGACGGACGGGAGTTTGAAAGTCCGTCGAGAGCGCGATACACCGCGTCGCTGGACCGTCGCTGGCCGTCCGAACCGAGTTTCGCGAGATGACGGAGGCTTGCCCCGCGAATGGATCCAGGATAAAGGGTGCGTAGGACTCGGCCGGCACCCAGAGGTACACCAGGAACCGGATCCAGCATGGGGAAGTGTTGCAGCAAGCGGCAAGAGCCCCAACCGATCGGTAAGCGGGGTTAGTGGCGAATCCTCTGAAAAGGAACCGATCGATGATCCGACGCGACGATCTGTAGTTAGTCAGCGATTGTTGGGGTCCTATTCTTTCTTTCTTTCTTTCTTTCTCTTTCTCGCGCTCTCTTTCTCTCTCTTTGTTCGCGTGATAATGGACTCGCGTACAAATGCGGTCTCATATCTTTTCGAGTGGCCGAATAGACAGACCGTCTCGTTATCGGAGAAATTTCATCGGAGAACGGATATCTATTTAGTCGTAGCTTTTTGAGTCACGACAATAAAAACAAATGTGTCTGTTATTCATAGTGAATCATGTAGACGGGAAATTTAATTTGATCGGAGTGCCGGGAGAAACAACAATCGCTGATCGACTTTGCGAATAACGATGTTGCGAATCAATTCCTCGGACTCGGGTCTCTTTTTCGCCCTCTCGCGCATCTCTGTCCGCGATCTTATGTTGAGGAGGTTGTAAAGCTCAGTGTCGTCTTTTCAGTGGCACATCAAGGGGACCAGTTATAAATTTAATATTTATCGAACAAAATTACATGCTTCTATATATTTATTTCATTACATAAATAATAAATGATAATTTATAACGAAGTTTAGGTAAGCATACGTATATAAAATATTATATTATAATATGAAAATATTATTATTTTTTTTATTTTTCTTATTAATATTATATTTATACATCAGTTGATGAATAGAGATGCACAAATAATAGAAAGAAATATGTAAGTGTTTAAATATATGCGTATGTATATAAATATATGTGTATGTATATTGAGTATTATTATATACTATAAATTGTGAACTTGACATCGTTGTATTTTCAAAACAAAATCAATAATTCTGAAATTTATATATACAGAGAAAAACATTTCTTTAGATTTAATAAAATTTCTTTAATTGAAGCAAATTCGTCTTTTAGAATGGAGCAAATGAACGAACGTTTGACACAACAAACAGAATTATTTAGTTTCTCAAATAATATAAATATCCTTACGTCAGATAATTTTTACTATTTCTCTTATATTTTCATCCAAACCTTAGAATGATTGTTACAAATAATAAATTATTCCGTATAAAATAAATTTTCTTTTTTATTGGAAATCAACTATTATTTTCTTTAAATAATAGTGTTTTTCTATTAAAATAAAGTATGGTTTATTCTAGTAAAAGAACAATATTTTCAAACAAAAATGATATTTGATATTACATTAAGTTGTTTATATTAAACAAACCCAATTCAAACAAACACGTGTACTAAGTCCAAAGAAACTTTTTTCTCTATATATATTAATCTATGTATTAATCTTTAATGTCATATCAGTAATTTTGTAAAAATCTTATTTTTATATAGTTTAGAAAATATTAAAAATATAAATTAAAAATAGCATGCTAATCCCAAGAAATATACCTAAAAAGTGTCAACTTTAATTGCAAATATCTCAGTTCTCGGATGGTCAATCTTTTCTAATTGCACGAATAGTTCGATAATATCTTAATATATATGTAGTGCAAGTTTTCCATCGAATTCTCGTCAGACTCACTTCGCCTTACAACCTCCTTAAATGTAAAACCTTTCGGGCTTAGTCGGGTTCTGGCTCGAATTTTCCGTAAAAATGATGATGTCGGATCGCGCGCGCGCAGGGTGTATAAATAAATCGAGAGAGCTTACCAGTTTTGAGATTCCCGTGACACAGAAGCGCGAGAATGTACGTCTCTCTTTCTCTCCCCCCTCTCGTCTCTCCGTCGCCGTCCCCTTTGACTTAAAGACTCGGATTCTCGGTTCAGGTTATAAGAAGGCGGACACGGGACTCAGTTCAAAGCACAGCAATGGAGGTTCCTTGGACCGATACACTGCCGACCCGAATCAGAGAGGCGTGCAAGCTCGGGCGGATATTATCCGGCCGAGGCCGACACCCTGTAAGCTACAGATACCGCATCAACCCCGTAAAACCAGTCCGACTGTTACGTCTGCATGTGTGTATTTTATGTTTTTACTCTTCTTATGTTTTGCTTTTATAGCGCCGACCGTGCGTCTGGGCGATGATCGAACCTTCGTTTCGCAAGTGGTCCAATTTTACTTTTTTATCGTGAAACCGCTCGCAGCATCGACGTCCCGTCCCGACTTGTTTTCTCAATGTCTCCCCCTCCCCCCCAGAGAAACCGAACCGGTTAATTTTAGTCGAGATCGTTTGGCGACGCGCGAACCGTCCGGTCGTGTTAATGAGAACAACGATATTCGGCATAATGAATCCGTCGTATAATGAATTCGTTCCCCTGGCACTCGCAGTGTCGGGGGACGAATTCCTCAGGATTATACCGAGTCCCAGTTTCACCCTTTTTTGCATAAAACGACTGGAAACGTAAATTCAACGCGAGTACCAAAATCAAGACGCTATATTTTTCTTCTTTTTCCTTTTTTTTCTTCTTTTTCTTTCCACCATTCTTCCCGCAATGTATTCGACGAGTAATTCGACGAGTAATCCGCGTCTTTCGATCGATTAGCTGCGCGTGCGAGTCCTCCGGAGTGAAATCGATCTTAACCGGTTCGGTGCTCGGCTTTACTCCGCTCCGAACAGAGACATGATAAGTTCGATAAGACTACACGGGTCGCTTCTCCCCCGACAGCGCATTCACAAAGGTCCAACAAGATCGTGGTGGCCCTGTACAATTACACAGCGCGGGAGAGCACCGATGTTAGCTTTATGAAAGGCGACCGAATGGAGGTCTTGGACGATTCCGAGCCGGACTGGTGGAGGGTGTTACACTTGACAACCCTGCAGGAAGGCCTGATCCCTTGGAACTTCGTGGCCGTCGAGCGTTCGATCGAGAGCGAAGAGTGAGCATCGTTTATCTCAGTCCATTATCATCGCGCCCGTTGTCGACGACTCGTCATGCCGATTGTCGCGTTCTCTCTCTCTCTCTATTTCTTCGCAGTTGGTTCTTCGAGAATGTGTCGCGCAAAGAGGCAGGCACGCTGCTCTTGGTCGACGAAAATCCTCGTGGTACCTTCCTGGTGAGACCGAGCGAACACAATCCGCGGGGTTACAGCCTGTCGGTGAAGGACTGGGAAGAGGGCAGGGGCCACCATGTGAAACATTATAAGATCAAGCCGCTCGACAACGGCGGCTTCTTCATCGCCACCAATCAAACGTTTCCCAGCTTGCCGGCTCTCGTGATGGCGTACAGCAGTAAGTGCCTCTCGTTACCTTTTTTCGTGTCACCACCTATTTTATTCTTTTTTATCAAAGGAGAAGGCGGTATTATAGCCCTCCATTTATATTTTGTACAATAACTTTGTCAATATTCAATATTTTTAATTGAAAATTTTAAAAAGCTTATATACGTCAGAATATTGTTCAATCGATTCGAGACCGAAAATTATGAAATACGAAATTGTTATTTAGAACTTTATTTATAAAAATATGGCGTATTTTGTAAAAAAATTCATATATTTATTCAAAATAAACTCTCTTAGGAGGAACAGCAATAAATATAACCGGGAATTTTTAATATACAAAATAGGACAGTTTCTACAAAATGAAAAAAACTTTTAAACTTAACTTGAATTATTGACTTATCGTGTAACTATTTCGATATGAAAACTTCGAAAAAATAACCGTATTAAATCTGTTTTAATGAGGAGGTCACATTAGCAAAATGCCATGTTATTGTTTAACTTTGCTTAGCTCAAAACGCATACAGCGGAATAGAATGTTAAATAACGAACAAAACACTCAAATGAATTCACACAAAGTGTCTGACGCAAACCGTCCCATCCATCCATCACACTTGTAGTGTGGGTAAACAAAAATGCCCTCTACTATTGTGGAAACAACTATGCAACATTTTGAATTATTAATTATTGAAAATAGCTGTGTACAGGTGTCTAATTAAAGGAGCCTCTATACATGACTGTTCCCCATAATTAATAATATAATTAATAACTGAACATTTTATGTAGTTCTTTACAAAATGGTGGAAAACTTTTGTTCATGTTAACTACAAATATACGACGGACGGCTTGCGTCAGACATCCTGTATATTCGTGTGATAATATGCTTAAATTTAAAACGAATAAGAAAGTATATATAATTAAATGCTAAAATGTACCTTGAAAACGTTTCGAAATGTTCGAAAAAGGTTGAAAATGCGTCATAACAAATGCCAACTATTGTGTTATTGGCATATTAGCGCAACTACGTAACGACTGAACAAATGATTCCACAAGTAATCACTAAAATTCGCCTATTGGCGGAGATATTCAGACGAATCACGATACCACCTTCTTCTTCTTATTTTATTATATTACACGCTACTCTTCTTCTTGAGTCAATAGTTTCTAAGAGAAAATCATCCGCGATCCACGCGTTTCCCTGTCGGGGCGATCGAGTGCTTCTTACATCGACGAGTATCCAACGAACGAATAATGACTGTGCCTGTCACTTAGAAAACGCGCTGGGCCTCTGCCATGTGCTGTCGAAGCCTTGCCCGAAGCCGCAGCCGGACATGTGGGATCTCGGGCCGGAGTTGCGCGACAAATGGGAGATCAACAGGAACGAGATCCAGCTGATCCGCAAACTGGGCCACGGCAATTTCGGCGAGGTGTATTACGGCAAGTGGCGGAATAAGACCGAGGTAGCAGTGAAAACACTGCGTCCCGGGACCATGTCAACGGAGGCGTTCCTGCAGGAGGCGGCGATCATGAAGCAGTTCCGGCATAGGCATCTGGTCGCGCTCTATGCGGTCTGTTCGAAGGAAGAGCCCATCTACATCGTGCAGGAATACATGTGCAACGGCAGCCTGTTGGACTTCCTGCGCACAGGGGACGGCAAGTATATGCAGTTCGAGGACCTGATCTACATCGCGGCTCAGGTAGCGTCCGGCATGGAGCACCTCGAGAGCAAGCAGCTCATACACAGGGACCTGGCGGCGAGGAACGTGCTGATAGGCGAGAAGAACAAAGCGAAGATCTGCGACTTCGGCCTCGCCAGGGTGATCGAGGACGACGAGTACTGTCCGAAGCAGGGCAGCAGGTTCCCTGTCAAATGGACCGCGCCGGAGGCCATCGTCTACGGTAGGTTCAGCATCAAGAGTGACGTCTGGTCGTATGGAATCCTGCTGATGGAGCTCTTCACTTACGGACAAGTTCCTTATCCGGGTGAGTACCTTCCTCTCGCTACCCTTCTCTCGTAAACAACGCGAGCAAGTTCTCGCGTGTGTCTGCTATTTACAAGCTGTCCGAAATCTTGTTTGGTATCCGTGATACGCAGGAACGGGTGAAACTGAATAAGAAAGTGATGTACCATTTTGCAAGATTCGCAATAGTTAACGAGGAATTGAATAATCCGTATGAGCTAATGAGCGCATGGAAGCGTTAGACCAGACTCTGTATAAGGAAAAGTGGTTTACTTCTGAAGGTCTCCCAGCAACGATGGGTATCAACTGATAGCGAGAGGCTAATATTATTTAATATTTTTCCGGCTCCTCCTCGGCCTGTGTTTCCCTTCGGCGCGCGCAGTCCTGCTGTGTCATTCTTGCTTGCGTCCTCGCTTTGAACTTTTGATATTCATCTTCATTGAAAAAGTTCCAAATGAGGTGCCGAAACGTCTGAATAATAAATTGATTTTTCATATCCACACTGTTAGTATTTGTTATATTTAATATGGCATTATTAATACCGTATAAAGGCTCTTGCCCTTCTAATTTACTTTTTATGATCTCATTAGAGCCGTACATCTCAGCTCAGGTTTCACCTGTTCTATCTACACGTCATGGATACCGAGAAAGGTTTCGGACACTTTGTATATTTAATGATCGATATATATCTCGGATGTATTGTCGACTTCTCTGTCCCTCCGTCAGGCATGCACGGCCGCGAAGTGATCGAGCAAGTGGACAAGGGCTACCGCATGCCGAAACCGTTGAATCACCCGCTGCCCGACAGCATCTATCGGCTGATGCTGCAATGCTGGGACGCCAGCCCGGAGAAGCGACCCACGTTCGAGTTCCTGAATCACTACTTCGAGTCGTTCAACGTCACTAGCGAAATACCGTATCTCGAACCGCCGACGGACTGATATACAGCCCATATGCAAAGCCACCTGCCGCCGCACCGTCACTTTCACCCAGCCCACATCAACTGTGCCATGGAATTTTATGGTATTTACTGCTAAGTAAATTATTTGCGCGTGCGCGCATCTCTCGCTGCCCTCACACCGGAACCCTCGCGAACTGTGGATGCACCGCTTTCCCGCGAGGAAAGGACTTGGAGAAGAAAAAAAATGAAAGAAAGAGAGAGAAAAGGGAGACTCGAAGAACTCGTGTACTTGGTCGGCGTTCTTTCTCGACGGCGGAATTTTTCTACAAGTTTTCGGCGACCAATCTTTGAAAGAAAAAAAAAAGAAAAAACAAAGAGCGAAATAATGCAACAAGAAAAAAGAGAAACAGTGCCGCGAACTCTCTTCCCCACTCCCCTTCGCCCCTTGCATGTCCTTAGTGTTTTACCATAGCACCGGGAATGGATCAAATGGATCGGAAGTTGGGTATGCCATGGTGTTTTTTTTTTTTATTATAAAACTTAACGTAAAAACCGCGAGGCAGCCTTGCGAGAGAGTACGTTGACTTTAATCTTCACGACCAATCGTTACGCGTTTAAATAATCGTTAATGAATGTAGCAATCGAGCGAGGGAGAAACTAGCCGCGATCGAGGATCGCTCATCGGCGAGTCGCGTCTTACCCGCCCTTTACTGCCCTCCCCGCTCCCGTCCTCCTCCTCATCCCGAAATCCGCGACTGCTTGAGCGCGTTTTCATATTTTTGACGATAAATAACAACCAATAAAGACATTAACGATGTTGGTAAATTTAGGAGCAAACAAGTCACGGTATTAGAGAGTAAACGGGATATATAAGTTTGAAGATGAGAAATTCGAAATTATATATAGATTATATACAACATAATCGTGTATTAGTATGTTAGCATATGATTACGAGATACACGTAGCGCGAGAGAGCGAAAGAAAGAAAACGAATGAGTGCGAGTGAATAAATGTGTGTGTGTGTGTATGCGTGCGTGCATGCGTGCGTGCGTGCGTGCGTGTGCGTACGTGTGTGTGCATGTGGTGTGTGCGTGCGTGCGTGCGTGTACGCGAAAAAAAGAGCGAGTAGGTGTGCGTACGCGCGCATGTTCCCACAACAGTAAGTTGCATTTGTGCGTCTCTCAATTGATCTCGGATCGGTCACATCCGAATTTTCCTAAAGTCCAAGTTTTGGATATAGTCCTCGGAACGAAGGAGAGAATGAGAAACGCGGTGAGAAGCAACGGTACCGCGTGTGGTACCGTTCGCAAATGCTTTCACGACGTGCGTAAGTTGCGAAGCGGGCGGGCTGGGCGTGTGCTCTGACGGGTGTGAGAGTCAGTTGCGAAGAGAGTGTCGATGGGTTTTTCTCGGGAAGGGCACTGTGTTGTCCCTCCGAACGCGCACAGCTGCGTCGAGAAGCTTATTTTTCGGATGCACGATATATTATCGCCGCTCGCGCGACAGTGTATTTTATTCCCCCCCCCCCCCCCCCCNTTTTCCCCCCCCCCCCCCTCCAAATGCGAGTCGTATGTGTACGAATGATCCTTTCTTCTGATTTCTTTCACATGCGCTTTGCCTGTTATTGCCACGCAATAATAATTTCGTCCCGGTTGTAAAACGCATGCACGCGAATAGACACATTCGAGAGTCCTTTGTCTCGCGTCGCGAGAGTCGGCCGTCGGTGCTCCTCGGTGCTTAACCGGTGTTTCCGATGAAAATTTAAGACGTAAGACTCGAGCTTTAAGCCGTAAGAAATTGGCCAATCACAGTCACGAACGTGAGAGAAATAATCGATTGGGATTAGTCAATTTCTTCTTACGGCTTAAGATTTAAAGCTTAAGTCTTATATTTTAAATGTTCATTGTAGACACCGCTTTAGGGTTGTCCCACCTTCGGATAAATTTATCTAACGGATAAATATTTGAAGAACGTTTCCACAAAGAAACAAAACTACAAGAATACGAAAAAGTTGCTGCTCTATACTATTAGGGATTACCACAGACCTGGAAAAGTCAGGGAAAGATATAAAAAAAAAATCTGGAGTTTTCAACTTTGCTCACAATTCCCTTAAATCCTCCCAACTGTATTCTTTTTTCCAATACTTATTTATTTTTTATTGACCTGAATTTGCATTCAGGACTATATTATGCTACTAAACTCCTAAGTTTGTGCTCTAATAATATAAGCTATCTTTTCTGCAACCCCTGCTTCTAAACGTTAAAGTTTCCGATTACATATTGCTCGTGGAAAATTTCCCGCTGTCGTTTGAAAAACATGAAGAAGTCTGGGAACTTCCAAGTTCATTTCCTATGGCAACCCATTATTGAAAAACAATAACATGCCAGTAATTTTTTTCTTGCGGTTCATTTCCATACGGGAGCGTTTTTCCGATTTATCCATCAGATAAATTTATCTGAAAGTGGAGCAACCTTTTATGCGGCTACTCGAGAGTTTCGTTCTCCGAGAGCGCTTCTCGATCGAGCGAAATTCGCGAGGCGGCATCTCCGATCTCGGCCGGTCGACTCTCGCGACCGATCGTTTCGTCCTGTGCGTTCTTTCGCCGATCGCGCAGTATCGTCAACGTCTCCGAACGAGTTGTTCCACCGCACGCGCGCGATTCAACAGCGTCTCCAAGCCCGAGCAGGCGAGTGAGCATCCCGCGGAATACCTCGCACAAATTCGCGTCGCTTTCATTTCGCAGGTCGTTGTGCAGCGTCGCTGCGTTATCACGGCGCTCTCTCTTTTTTTTTTGTTTTTCGAAACGAGCCGTCGGTCTTGTTGAGGAGAGGAGAAAAGGAAGAGAAAGGTGTGAGATTTAAGATAGAGATAGTGAGAAAGAACGAAAGCGAGCGAGCGAGCGAGCGAGAGAGAGGGGAAGAGAGAGAGAGAGAGAGAGAGAGTGTGTTATTAGTATCCGGATAAGAGAGTGCGAGTGCGTGAATGCGTTTGCGGGGAAGAAAGAAGGTACGAGCGAGAGAATGTCCCCGAGCCCGCGTCGTCGCGACGCAGACCGACATGTTGTGGGGCTTTACGTGCACGAAGACGGGCGTGAACAGTCGGGAATGCAATTTCGGATAAACTTAAGTCATCGATGTTACTCGTACAAAGTGTCTGAAGAATTGTAAATTTTCTACTTAAAAAAAAAAAGGAAAGAAGAAGGAGGATACAAACGACAGATTAGAATAGAGAACCTTAGGTGATAGGCGTCGCGGCGTCTCTCGCCAGGATGATCGGCGGCTCCGTGCTCTCTCTCGGCTGATCGACAAGCGCGTCTCGCGGTCCCACGCGTCCGATTCCCCAAAGGTCAACTTTGTCGCCGTCATCCCCGCGAGACGTGTCAAGCGCGAGACCCGAGATTGAATCGACCGCACCGACGTCGCTCAGTTCCAGCCCCGGTCAACGTAGTTTCGGAAGTAGTCGTAGTCGAGGAAGGCGTGAAAAAGCCGTGAGCCGAGCAGGCGATCGTTTCGATACACGAGGCGGGATATCGATCATGTAACTTTTTCTTTAAAGTGGAAATGTGAAAAGTGAAATGATATCAAATTAGAAAATTTACATTTCTCACGAGTTCTCGTTAGAGAAGAAGATTCATGATCCTCTGGGCTGCTTTCGTAAATCTTACTCGACAGATAGAGTAGCATTTAACGAAGCAATCGTGATAAAGAAATCTTTGCTCTTTTTGTCTTTTTTTGGATTAGTCAATTAAATACTGTTGAACAGGATGCCGTCGAATAGGATCTCTGAATGCAGTCCTGAGTATTGATCACGATCTAAATTCTATACTCACTTTTATCGATAAAAGTGTCTTAAATGTGGCTTCTCAGCCGATCAGATGGTTCCTAGACCACTTTTAGAGACATTTTTATCGATAAAAATGAGTTCAGAATATGAACAGAATATGGATGATCAACACACCCCAGAGGGTCTTCTTCTCTAGCGTGAACTCGTAAAATGTGTGAATTTGCTTCATTTGAGGACTTTTATTTTTCACGTTTTCACCCTGGAGGATAAGTTACATGATCGATATCTAGATTGTTAATTAATATACGCGAATACTCGAGGGAAGGAACGATTAATATCGCGCAAATCTTCGAACCGTCGCGTACTCGGATGGGCGGATAAAATTCCACATCGAGTTATCGCCATTTTCGCTCCTCCGTAATAAGGGAGAGCGAATTGCGTTGACCAGAATTACTCGACTCAGATTATCGATGATGAATCTTTTTCCTCTATTTGCTACTCACGCGTAAAATCACGAGTAAGATCTGAGAGGGAGTTTTAGATCGCCAGCCAAAGTAGAAAAGAATCCAGTCACTCCGAGATACAATGCCAAAGTATATAATCCCGGAATCCCGTCTCACCTCGACATTCGCCCGATTGCTCTCCATCTATTCGGGGCCGAGAGATCGTTGAGCGGAGTGCGTCGGTGCGGCCGGTTCTCAATGTATACATTTTACTGTGTCACGATAAACACGATGAGCCATTACGATACGATAGATATTAGCGATTATAAAAAGTGGAAGCAGTGGACGAGTGCGTTGCGCGTATGCGAGCGTAGGAAATTGTTACATCCGTGTCAGCGGAGTCGTCTCTTCATGCGCGCGCGTCTCGCCGAATGCGAAGAAGTCGCGGTGCTGCAGCTCGTGGCAACACTCGAAAGTTCGCCGCACGACGCGAGCATCTCGAGGCACATCGTAAGAGCGTCTCATCGGACGACCAATTTCCGGGACGCCACCTCCGGCCGTCCCCCGCAGACCTCGCGTCCGGTGTTGGCATAAATCCGTCGAGATTTGTGCGACCACTCGACGAGAGAGAAATTCCCTGGTAATTTATATATTTTGTGAAGCTTTACGAGGCTCATAAATGCGGCTCTCCGACGACGAAGGAACACGCCGACGAGAACGGCGCGCGCGTGAAGAGGCGCTCACGTTTACGTAGCGTTTAGGGAGTAGGTATATTACGTCCAGTACATTTTTTCTATGAGCGTTTTGTACCAATGAACTTGTTTTGACGATCATGATCGCTGCCGTAGGTCGTAGTTTAGAAATACAGTAGAGTTCGAACCGATGTAAGATTGCGACAGGAACGACCGGCAGCGTCCCGGGAGGCGTTTAATCCCGAGGGACTCGCGGCCGTTTAAATGCGACTTTCTTCAGACGGCTCCTGACGAAGGGAGATCCAAGAGAAGGTCCTTTGGGAGGCCTCGAGGTGTCCGAAGGAAACGGAAAGAGAATCTCTCGGCCGCCTTTCGGCCGTTTTCATGGTGTCCGAGAGACCGGCGCCGAAAAGTCCAGAAGCTGCTTCAGGCGTCTCCGAGTTACGGAGTCCCCGAGGTTCTCGATGTCTCCCTTGGGCCTTTGTGCTGTCCAAGGTCGGAAGAAACGACGAGTTCGAGCGACCCGAAGCGTTCGTGTTATGTGGTATCTTCGCGTAGATTGTTTCATTCGGATCACATTTGGACCATGTATTTACAAATTATCACGGTAAAAGGCGTCACGGCCTTTCTCCACTGAATCTAGAGACTGATATCGTTTAAATAAAGCCCACGCGCGTTGTGCTCTTGAACGTATCACAGCCGGGAACCGTACGTCCGATTGCTCGCGCGTAATTTTGATTAAGTCCGCGTGATTTTCTTTTATTTTTTATCTTGATCTCGACGGTCCGTCGCTCTGTCGCACGCGACGGAAAAGAAAGGCGTGCGCGTTCTCTCTCTCATCGATCAGCGTCGCACGAAATCCCCCGTCACCCGATCGCGGACTGTCCGCTTCTACTTTTGTTCCCCCTCCCCAGTGCGCAATCGCGCGTCTCGAGGAGCCGGGAAGACGAGGAAAATGACCAAAGTAGTCGCATCTCTCTCTCTCTCTCTCTCTTTTTCCCTTTCTTTCGGACGTATCGTTCCCGCCGCCTTTTATTTGCGAATGACGACGTTTGAATTCACGGCGACCTAAGGGCGAGAGATCAGCGGTTTCATACGTGTTGTAAAACGTACTTAAACGAGAGAGAACTTGCATCACGCCTCTCCTCAGTCCCGGTCTACGATAAGTGTTTTAAACCTCGTGAAATTGATCAATCGCAGTCGAGTGTGAAAAGAATAATCGACTGTGATCGGTCAATTTCTCAAGGGGATCCTGGAGTTGTCTTGTTTTGTCGCAAATTTGTTAGTGCCCGTTACTAGCTGCGCGGAATTAAAACTCTTTTTTGCACAATTGCAATATGCACGTTAATGTAGGCAAACGACGATTGATTTTATTCGAAAATCGAAAAGAAGTTTTATAATTTGTTAACTTTTTTCGTTTTTCAAATAAACCTATCATCGTCTACATTAAAGCGGTGTCTATAATAAGAATTTAAAGCGTAAGACTCGAGTTTTAAACCCTTAAGATGTAAGGAATTATCGCAATCGAATGTGAGAAGAATAATCGATTGGGATTGGTCAATTTCTTACCTGTTGAAAGTTTAAAAGTCAAATCTTACGTCTTAAATTCTCATTGTGGCCACCGCTTAAACGTGCGCATTCATGATTGTGCGAAAGAATTTTTAATTCTACGCAGCCAGTGATATAGTATCAACAGATTTGCGGTGAAACAAGACGACTCTCCAGGATCCCCTAAAAGCACCAATCGCAGACGGAGACTCGCCGTCGCCGTCATTGTCGTGGTGCTCCCGTCGGCCGGCCGTCGCGACGCTCGTTCAAGTGAAATTCTCGATAAATCTGTGATATAGGGACAGACCTCACGTGTTTTTTTTTGATACACAGCGGACGACACTCGCTGTCGTTCGCTCGCGCGCACGTGGTCGCCACGGGAGCACCGTCGGATGCACGTGCAACGTCACCGAAGCGATGACGGACGGAGAACAAACGAACGATCGACCGATCAGGCAGCCGCGATCGGCTCTGTCAACAAAATCATTTCGCAAGAACGGATTCATCCGACGTGATGCGCACACCAAATAACCGCGACTATTTTCTCGTACGCGTCCCTGCCCCCCCCTCCCCCTCCCCCCTACCTTCGGCTCTTTCGTTCGAGTTTTCTTCAGCCGTACGTACGTACAATACGTACATACATGCATATATATACACACATACATCCGCGCGCGCGTCGATGCGCGTTCTCATTCGTACCTAAAGCGAAAAAAAAAAAATGATCGATACACTGTTGTCTTGTTTATATACCAAAGCTTATTATCATTAAGTAACTTAACAAGATTACTTTGTATGATTATGATTATTATTATTATTATGATTATGATTATTATTATATTAATTGTCATAAGCCTATGCAGATCAATATATTATGTATCATATTAACGTGTCGCAGACTTCATTTCCCTCCGATTCCGGTAAGCGACAAGTAGCCGGGATTTCTGTGCCTCTTTCTCTCTCTCCGAGTTTTCGGACGTTCAACGTCGAGGCGTCGAAGCGGAACGCGCATTTGTAAAAGTGCCTGACGGTCCCGCGGGCGTTCAGATAGTCGCACAAGGTACTCAGTTATCCAAACTTCAGAGCTCATTCACCGATTTATTTTGAAAACCGATTACTCCTCCTCTCTCTTTCTGTCTTTCACAATACAAAAGTTTCTAAAACACAGACGCTCCACTGTTTTTCGTAGATTTACGCGAAAAGTAAAATCGTGCAATATATAAAGAGGGGAAAAGGAAAGAAAGAGAAACAATAAGATGAAAGGGAGAGATTGCAGGATAAAGTACAGCGACGTCTCGTTACGTTCTCCGAGAATGTTCGTATAAAACGCACAACGTCAATTTCGAGCGGCGCACATTTGGCGGAAGTACAAAACGTGCTCTCTCCTTCGGTTGCCGCGTGTTTTAAGAAAAATCATTTAGCGGATTAAATTAGACACGTAACGAGCGAGTGAGCGAACGAAGGAACGAACGCACGCACACGTGCACACATGCATGCACGTGTGCGCGCACACACACACACATACATACACACGTGCAGTCGCGTGCCTGTCTGCGTATGGTATCGTTATGATGGTCGGAGAATTTACAACGTACGCTAGAGCGCGTTTCTACGTGCTTGGCTCCGCGACATCACCGTGTTGCTTGATACAAACACATTCCCGCGACAATTGCGTTATGAAAGATAATCGCGATCCAAAACAGTCAGGGAGAATTCACATCTTGACGGAAAAGCAGAAAAGCAGCAGCCAATCAGAACTCGCGTTAGTAGTCGACAGTTACTGCTTACTATCAGCGCGAATTCTGATTGGCTGCTGCTTCTCCGCTTTCTATTTTCTGTCAAGGTGTGAATTCTCCCTTGTGTATGTGTTTGTGTGTGTGTGTGTATCTGCACATGGCGCATACATATACATACATACATACATATATATATACATATACATATATATGTGTGTGTGTATATATATGTATATATATATGTATATATACTTAAAAATTAAGTGTACATCATTTCCGCCATGTGCGACATCTTCTTTGGAATATGGACGAACTCCTCGAAGTAGCTGGCGAGCTCCCCGATCGTAATGTCGCACGATGGTGGCGATATCCGCGCCTGCACCGAACAGGTGTTCGTACTTGAAGGTTGGCCGCCGGACGGGCCGTCCGTCTGGCCGCCGCTCGAGGAGGACGCCTGGCCTCCGCCTGGTCCGGGGCCCCTCTTCAGGCTCGGCATCGTGTTGCTGCGGGTGCGCTGATAACCACCGGCTTCATAGTCGTCGTCCTGAATACTGGTGTCGTCCTTGGTCTGCCGGCAGTCCCGGCGCATCTCCAGCTCCTTGAGGTCCCTCGCGACCGATTCGGACTCGATTCTCTTGGAGCTCTTGCTGGAAATGCTGAACTTACACGAGTTCTTGAGCGTGTCCACTAAGTTATCACTAAGACAGCCGGCGCCGGGGGCGTTTAACTTCAGCATCGCCTCGCGCAGCACGGCGCCCCGTTTGCTCTTCTCCGCAGCTACTCTCTCGCTCTTAGACGGCTTGAAGTTCGTTGTACTCTTGATTCCCCGCGGATTCGCCGCGAACACGGTAGGCCTGTTGGGCATGGACCTCCTGCGGAACAACCAGCTGTTGTCGGTGGCGCTCGGGTACGTCTTGCTGAATGTCCGGAACGGGTTCGTCGTCTTCGGCTTGTCCGTCGTCGCGATGCTGAAAGAATGCGACGTTATTTTGCGAAATGTACGCCAGATGCAGACTCGGATACTGAATCCGCTCTGCAATTGATCATGATCTCTGAACACGCGAGTAGAAATGTACCTTGTGGTCATCATTGATTTCGTTTACATTGACGTCTCGTTAAGCTTCCTGTAAAATTCTCTATGGTTCTTTACAAGTGCAATCGTTACTCCACCCGGATAGCCGAACCTGCACAAGCAGATTTCGCGCCTGCTGCAGATTTTGCCGGCAGCTTGTTAGCAGAAATACAACAGGATCTGCTAGCAGAGCATCGGTCACTTCTTCTTGGCAAAACTGGCTGTATCAATTCAAGAAATTTATACATACCAAAGTGTGAGAATCATGTATGTTTGCCTCATGTGCTTCAATGTGTATGTAAATTTCTTGAACCGGTGCAGCCAGTTTAGTTAAAAAGAACAGACCATACGATAACAAATTGACGGCAGAAACTAAATGGAATCTTCCGTTTTTCTGTAATCATTTAAATGCGCTTAAATGAAACATACTACAGATACTCCTCAGTTTCTACCGCCAATCCGCGATCAAGCTATACCAGCAGATTCTATCGACAAAGCACAAGCTTAATGTAGGCACAGAGATAACTACAGACCTGCCGCAGTATTTTGACTGAAATTCCTCCAATCTGTCGGCGTACTGCTAATATTTTGTTTATCATTAGGTATTTTGTTAACTTCGTACGTTTACCTCGTTACTATTATCATTTACAACGCTAAATTCTTCAGCCACTAAATTCTCACTGTACACAGTAAAAAAAAACATTTTATGCTCGCGTTAAAATCGGTCCTCGTTGAGATTCTTGCGTTAAATTTCCAACATAGCCGTGTGTTAATTTAACATATTATGTTTATGTTATCTCAACACTTTGTATCGCGTCGATATTCAAAACATGTGTAAGCATCGGGACAGCACATGCTTCAATATCGATTGACGCGTCAATTTTGCGTGATATTTGCATTATTTCTCAACATATTCACCTTGCGTCGAACTAACACAAAAACTCGAGCGGACCGTTCGCGAGGTCGTGTTAAATTTAACACAAAATGTTTCACCGTGCAGCCTCCGAGTTACCGACGAAAGCCGCTCTCGTGTCGCAATCACGTCCCAAGTGACATCACTTGAGCTCTCATTGCTACACGCGTCGCATTTTTCGGACGGTCTCGAAACCTGTCGAGACTTCCCGTCGAGATCAGTCTCGGACGACCTTCCGTCGGTCGTCGGGTCTCGTTGATCCCGAGAACGGAGGTCGACGAGCCTCGCTCGACACTGGCGCGCGGGAACACGAGAGAGCACTCGGCGCGTCGGAGCACTTCCGGAAGGAGAGCGGGAACGATGCTTACTGCGGACAACTCGTCGACAGACGATCAATGTGGAGCCTCTGCAGGCTCGCCGGCAGCGCGTCGTCGGTCATGTTGGCCGCCTCGTCCGGATTTATCGCGAACACGGCATCCTGCCGGACGACGGCTGTGGCTCGAGGGCGCATTCAGGATACAAACACTGACGGTGACGGTGCAACCTGACGGGCGCTCAGCTGGGATTAGGTTAGAACGTAGTAGATCCAACGATGACGACGGTGATGGCGACGGACGATGATGATGCGACGCGATGGCGCGCGTTCGCGCTAACCAACTGCTCTCTCCTCTCGCTCGTCCACGCTGCTTCCTCCTCCTGGTCGGGCGCGGACCCGCTCGCGCGCACCCCAGCGAGCGAGCGACCGGGTCTCTGATTTGCGGTACGCGCGCCGATACGCGATTAATTAATCGCCGCGCTGATGATGAACGTAAATAAACACCGCTACTGCGCGCGATCAGGCTCTCATAATGACGACGGTGATGATGCGACACTGCCGCCGCTGGTTGCTGCTGCTACTGTGCAATTCCGCAAGATGCCGGAAGAAGACGTCGCAGAGGCCGCTGCGGGCGCACAGACGCGCCCGCTATTGGCTGGCGTCCATCGCGGAAACTTTTGCTTCCCATCGCGGGACGGACTTTCGAATGAGGGAGCACAGCTTCTCGACGATTTATCCCGATCGCTCTCGTAAGACCTGAGACCTGTTCGTTTTGATGCAACCTGTGCGTTTTAATGTTGCCGCGCTTGAAACGGAACGGGCGTGCGGTCGGAGAGCCTCAGAGCGATGAGGAGGACGGCGGCGAAGTGCAGAAAGTGCAGACGAAAGTAAGACGGGCAAATTTCTATAATGCGCCATTAGGAGAAATTTCAACTTCTGTTAAAGCTGCTTCAATTGATCGATCAATTTGGACGAAAAAGCGAAGATTTCTTTACCATGATTGGTTAATTGAATGCTACTCCACCTGTAGAGTTTTCAAACGCAGCCTACTGAGAATAGAGGGAAATAACGGGACGGCGAAAGAGCGATACGTTGCGTGTCGAGAGAAATAGATAGTCGTGTGAGATAGTGGATAATTAGTAGAACGTATCTTTAGAGACGTTGAGGCGAGAGAGAGAGAGAGATAGAGAGAGAGAAAGCTTACTGCGATTAAATAATGCAGTTATCAGGTACTTCCGTAGACTCTCTTTGTGCGTCTCATAATGAGAAATAATTCTATTCTCGTCTAACCCTCCCCCCACCCTTCCGTTCTCTCTTCCTCTTCCCGTTTAACAATTTAATTGTGTATTTCAATGAGTTTGTCTTAAATACGACTTATATGTGTATGTATATATTATATTAATGCATATATATATATATATGCATTAATGTTCGGCAAACAACAGGATGTCCGAAACTTTTCTTTCAATCGCTCATGTGAAGGTAGAACGAGTTAAATTAAAAGTCCACCATTTTGCAAACAACCACGCAAATTATTAAAGATTGAAAATGGTCATGTATAGAGGCTTCTTTAATTAATAACTCAAATATTTGCAAAATAGTAAAGTTTTATTTACAAAATAATAAAGGACATTTTTGCTCAGAGTGGCTTAATTTACATGTATGTGACAACTGTTGTACCTAACCGACAAAGTTCGAGATTCAAGATTCAATATACCGATGTTGTCATTAGATACAACAGCCGTCATATATTTATAGATTAGGTCGCTTTGAATGAAAAAGTCCTTCACCATTCACCGCTTTGCAATTAATACGCAAATTTTGGAGTTATTATTTAAAGAAACCTTCATGTATGATCATTTAGAGCTATCATCTGCTATCATCAAACATTTGAGATATATCTTTCGAAGTATATTGTATTGAAAATCTTTCTCGAAAATTATTATTATTATATTTATTTATATGGGAATCATTCCTTTGGTACAAAGCTTGACATAATTTGTCGAGGAAATCTAATTAAAATTAATAATAACAAACAATAACATAATAACAATAATAAAAGAATACATGAAAAAAAATGATTCAAGAGGAACTTAGACTTCGAAAGATATGTCTATAGTAATTTCCGAGAAAGGTTTCCAATGCAGTATATTTCGAAAGATATATCTTTGGTCGTATACAGTATATGTTCGTAAATGGAATGTATAATCTCAATAACTTCTCGCGCACACAAGATTTACGTGCTTTACCTGAAAATGCCATCGGCGATGAAAAGACGTTGAGATATTCTGCTTGCCTCTCGTACGGAGTATAATCGGAGATTGTGTCATCAAACTAAAGATATCCGCATCAATTTGCTCACGTGCTGCAAGAATGCACGCTTACGACGAGCGCAATTAAACTGCATCTATCACGTTGTTGCAAGCAGTCTCTAAAGTGTCGAGAATACCAGAATCCATCAATTTCGATCAATATTATTCTCTTTTATTCATTGTTATCCTTTACTGTCCCTTATTCTCGCACTGTACGATTTCAATCTAAGAGTTTTGCAATCATTCACTTGTAAAGTTATCAAAAAATGTAATACAGGATTGATATATTTGTTTAAGCGAAGATAATTCAACGTCGCCGAAGCGACATACATACACACACACACAAATTGTAATCCCGATAGTGACGGATCTCGCGTATAAAATTCAATGATTCACTGGGCGAGCTACGTGCTGACGCACTCTTGGCCCGGCTTTATTTTAGCGTGCGGTTGAAACATTTACGAATTCCTGCTGCTGGAAAGCATGGAGCGGCGAGGAAACGCGACCAGCTTTCCGGCCGTTTCTATTTCGTGCTAAAAGCGCACATTCTGGTCGAAACCGTTTCGAAATACCTCGGTGGTTCATTGATACGTATAACATTACCGAGACGAATTGTTTCAGATTTCGTGATACTTGGCGAATAAGAGGAGGAGTGGGGAGAGATAGGGCTTTGTACTTTATTACTGACTACATACATTTTTCTGTTTCAGGAACGGACGTTCTATTCGGCGGCCTTTCGTGCACACGTCGTCCTGGGGAATACAGACGTCGGTTCGAAGATCTACGAGTTCTGGGCATGTCTGACATTTCATGCAACAATCGTGATATTTGTGACTATAATCGTAAGAATATAACGTCTCTTTTATCCGCCGTATTAGTGAAGTAAGATTTTTCTAATATTTGCAAGAGAATGTGCCTGTCTGACCCCGCCGTTCTTTTTGATTTAGACAAAACTTCACAATGTTTCAACCCAGAACTCATCTTGCATGCACACTAAGAGAACAAATATCTGAGAAATAAAAAAAACTTAGTAAATACCAATAACATATTTATTTGTATTAATATACAAATGTTTTTATATTGAGAAAAATGTCTTTTAAAATGAGGAAATATTACATTTTCTTAAGTCTGTAGCTTTCCACGAGAATAATTATTTATTCTATTTTAAATAAAAAAAATTTAAATTTAACCAAATATATTATTAGTACTCAACGAATAAATATTTTTTTTTAATTTCTAGATTAATTTAGATATTTTTTTATTTTATAATATAGGTAAGGATGAGGCAATAATTATCGCAATCTTGAATATCATGGAAATGTAAGAATAGGAGGGACATTTATCCAACAAAAATTGCGTTAATATTTAATCATTATTTCGAATCTATTTTCCGTGGATATAAACTTGTCTCGTCCTCATCCAGTCGTGAATAAAATATTTTTACCTTCCGAAGGTATTCAAAGTGGTAGTAATTATTGCCTCACCGCGCAGGTAGACTGTTCGATTCGACAGAAATATTGAATACGCGCAACATCGTGATACGCGCATAGACGACTTGCGCGCGTCTAATCGCGCTCGTCATCGTCATAAATGATCTTCCAGGTATATGCACGCCGCATTTCCGCCTGAGCGTATAAAACACGCGGGAGATCGCTCTAAAATAATTTCTAGAGCGGCGTGGAAAAAGTCGGGCGGTGTCGGGAATTTAGCTGTTTAATCGGTTAGAAATGAGCTCTGGCGGCGTGCCAGGATCTCGCGCACATTAGCGCGCGACGAGGAGTTTCCGTCGCCTGTGACACTGGATAGATGCACGTTGCACCTACGCATATCCGTTGCACCGTTGCGGAGAGCGTTCTCTGGCGTCGCTAAAGGACTGGCTCGCGCCGGTCACCCGATCGCCAGCGCGGAACGCCACGTTACTCCCTTACGGTAAATTTATATTTTCCACGGTTATTACGCGCGGACGATCTCTTCATGGATCGCACGTGCGTTTACGCCTCTAAATCAGCGCGCGAATTACGTTATTTCACGTCGAAAGTGTGTTCACCAAGTGGACGTAAATTAGACTGTTTTATGAAACGCGATGACGCGAAGTCGCCGAAAATTGGAAGTGACGATTTTGATGTTACTTCGATTGGTCGTCGAGTGTTAGACGTACGAATGCGAGTAGGGGCGGCTCGAAATATTAATTCCGCGCTGGTAGTTATTTCACGATCGAGTCAGAATTGAAATACGAGAAGTTCTACTTAGGTTGTGTTCGTATATAGAGAAAAAAGTTGCTTTGGATTTAGTTAATACGTGTTTGTTTGGTTTGGATTTGATATAAAACATAATTTGATGTCAATATCATTTTGAATGAAAATATTCTTTCACTAGAGTATGTCATGTTATTTGATAGAAGAAACGGTATTATTCAGAAGAAATAATGTCTGATTTTCAATAAAAGAAAAATTTATTTCACTATATATTAAGTTCTTTTAAGTTCTTAAAATGTTCTTTAATATTTTTCTCACATAATGTTACAAACTTTCTCTTTCAAACTCTTTCAAACCATTTATTATTACCATTTATTGTGACAACCATTGTAACGTTTGAATTAAAATATAAAAGGAATGTTATTTAATGATATTTATTGTTCAAGAAATCAAATAAGCCTGTCTATTGAGTCAAAAATCCGTTTGTTCATTCCAAATGATAAATTCGTTTCGATTAAAAAAATTTTATTAAACC